GTAGTTGTGGTTCACAGGCTCTAGAGTGCGGGCTCAGTAGCTGTGGCGCACGGGCTTAGTTGCTCCGCGCCATGTGGGATCTTCCCGGACCAGGGCTTGAACCTGTGTCCCCTGCGTTGGCAGGCAGATTCTTAACCACTGTGCCACCAGGGAAGCCCAGCTCTCATCTTCTTGATCTCATCACACTTTGCCTTCCTCTTTTGTCTCAGATATGTGGTAACTATGGTGAAAATGCACGTGAGGGTTCTTTTTCCTTCCTCTGGCAATTCACTGCTGTATCATCTTGTAAAGGGCCAGGTGCTCCCGGGTTCTGGCACGTTTTCCTGGAACTTCAGAAACAGTGGTCAATGCAGCTCCTGGAAGAGACGATTCCCCTGCCTGTGATACAGGCAGAGACAGACTTTTGGGAAGTGGGCATCGATTATGACAGGTCCTCTGTCCCCGATGACTAGCTCCTATCCCACCTCCTCTGAGCCACACTTCCTCCTGCCCTTTCCCGTTCTCAGGGACCTTTGTCCTCACCCCCCGGAGGGTGTGTGGTGGTCACTGTGCGGCGGTCACCGTGCAGCAGTGGCCTTGGAGGCACCGACCTCTTGGATCTTGTTCTCTGAGGCGGCCAAGTGCTGTTTGCCAAATGAGCGTTGAATTGGGCAGCTTTCCACCTCGTTCGGAATTCATGCTTATTGATGATGATGCCTATTACAGTCATTCGGGCCTTTTGAGGAGACACCTTGAGTTACTCATTCAGAACATGTTTATTTGGTCCCACCTCTTCCTGAGCATAGACCTGTGAGCAAGCTGCATGACTTTTTGTTTCCAAGCCCCCCGCACTCAGACGCGGGGCCCGGTGGCGCTGCTTGGCCGCCATCACGTCCCCTCCCCACCCCCCCCGCACGCCTCTGCGCCCGCCCGCTTCACTCACCCACTCGCCCGGGCTGCCGGCTGGTTCCGAGTGGGGTCCTTGCGCGGGGACAGCACTTCAGCTGCAGCAGGTGGATGCAGGTCTCAGGTCGGGTTTACTGAAGGGGCACGTCCCAGCGACTGCAGTGGCTATGGTGGGCAGCCCGGACCCTCGTCACCACCACAGCAGTGGATGCTCGGGCGAGGGGCTGTCGGATGAGAATTTGACAGCTGTGATGCCTGAGCGCTGCTGTTGGACTCTGACCCACGTGGTTGAAGTTTTATAAACCTGAACGGCAGGAATTATGCTCATTTCCACAGGTCGCTACACTGAGTCATGGTGAAAAGGGCCGTGTCTCCTAGGTTCTCAAAGTGAATTGTCAGCACCTAATCCTTCGGAGGGGGCAGTTTCCTGAGCATCGAGTCCCGGGAGCTGGCGCGCGCTGTGCGTCCTGCTGGCCCACGTTGCCTCCCAGCCCGGCCTGGCTTGCCCACCCAGGGCCCCCTGGCTGGTGCCGATCTGGAGGCCGATCTGTACGTCATGCTGGGGGCGGAAAGCGGGCCAGCGCTCATGTGCCTGTACATAGGCCTTGCTTTCAAAAGGGATTCTTTCGAAATGTATACAAGAGGCTGTGTTTTCTGCCACAGATGAGCTTAAGTACATAAAATGCAACTTTGTGTTTTCGAGTGTAAATGCACATTGCTCCACAGACTTAATACAGTCATGTGCTTTGGCAAATGACAGCCATATAAGCGAGCTCTCTGGAGGTGGCAGCTGGGCTCCCGGCCCCTCCGCGCTCCCACGGACGCCGTCCCCCATCGTCCTGACCCATTTTTGGTCCTCATGTCCCTCCTGGGAGTCCGTCCTGGTGAAGGCAGGGAGGGGTCCTGTCCTCAGCGTCAGCTGAGCAGGGGGCTTGACAGGATGCTGACTCCACCGAGTGCCCGTGGGGTGACCTCGACCTTCTCTGTGCCCTGTTTCTGGCATTTGTGTGGATGATTTTTTGGCTACAACGGCTTTGCAGAACCTGCCAGTGACACAGCGGGATGTGGACCAGCAGACCAGGGGCCCGGGATGACCTGAAGAAAGCTAGCGAGAAGTCGGAGGTGGCCATGCGGGCCCCCTGCGGCCTCTCTGAAGCCAAGGTGAAGCCCCAGGCCTGATCCTCCCTGTGGGTGGGGGGCTGGCAGAGATGCCATGGCTCTGGCATGGCTCCTCTCTGGGCACCATTCTTCTGTCCAAGCTCGTGCTGACGTCCTGTAGCCTCAGGACTGGGTGTACAAATATCTGTTCGAGTACCTGTTTTCAGTTCTTTTGGGTGTATGCCCGGAAGTGGAATTGCTGGATCATACAGTAATTCTGTGTTTAATTTGTTGAGAAACTGCCGTCCTGTTTTCCGCAGCGTCTGCGCCAATTTACATCCCCACCAGCAGTGCACGGGCTCCCTCTTCCCACCTCCTCGCCAACACTTGTTATTCCTTGTCTTTTTGATAATGGCCATTCTGACAGGTGTGAGATGGTATGTCATTGTGGTTCTGATTTGCATTTTCCTGATGATTAGTGATGCTGGACATCTTTTCATGTACCTGTCGGCCACTTGTATGTCTTCTTTGGAAAAACGTTTATTCATTTCCTCTGCCCACTTTCATTTTTATTCTTTTATTTTTTAATAAATTTATTCATTCATTTATTTATTTTTGGCTGTGTTGGGTCTCTGTTGCTGCAGGCGGGTTTTCTCTAGTTGCATCGAGCGGGGGCTACTCTTCATTGCGGTACGCGGGCTTCTCATTGCGGTGGCTTCTCTTGTTGCGGAGCACGGGCTCTAGGTGCGCGGGCTCAGTAGTTGTGGCACGTGGGCTTCAGTAGTTGTGGCTCTCGGGCTCTAGAGCGCAGGCTCAGTAGTTGTGGCGCACCAGCTTAGTTGCTCCGCGGCATGTGGGATCTTCCCAGACCAGGGCTCGAACCCATATCCCCTGCACTGGCAGGTGGATTCCCAACGACTGTGCTACCAGGGAGGTCCCATTCTGCCCATTTTTAATGGGGTTGTTTTTTGATGTTGAGTGGTCTGGTTCTGTGTATATTTTGGATATTAACCCTTTATAAGATAGTAAATATTTCCTCCCATTCCATAGGTTGCCTTTTTGTGTTGCCGATTGTTTCTTCTGCTCTGCAGAAGCTTTTTGTTTCTTTTTTCATTAAATTTTTAAAGGTTGCACTCCATTTACAAAGTATTGGCTACATTCCCTGTGCTGCACAGTACGTCCCCGTAGCTGATCTTACACCCAGTAGTTTGTACCTTGCACCCCCCCCCCATAACTACTAGTTTGTTCTTTATATCTATGAGGTTCAGAAGCTTTTTATTTGATGTAAAGATTCCACTGTTTATTTTTGCTTTCGTTGCTTGTGCTTTTGGAATCACATCCAAACAATCGTTGCCAAGACCCGTATCAAGGAGCCTTTTCCCTGGAAGCACAGGAGTTTAAAATTTTGATGTAGTCCAGTTGATCTGTTTTTGCATTTGTTGCCTGTGCTCTTGGTGTATCTAAGAAATCACTAACAAATTCAGTGTCATGATGCTTTCTCCCTGTATTTTCTCCTAAGAGTTTTCTAGTTTTATCTAGTATGTTTAGTCTTCGGCGCATTTTGAGTTAATTTTTGCACATGAAGGTAGGGGCCCAACCTCAGTCTCTTCTCAGGAACTTTTTGACATGGGTTTTCTGGTAGCCATTTGCCAACTGACTTGCTCCCCGAGAACCTAAAATAGAAAGGCTTCCGATCTATTGACCACAGACCCAGCTTTCTGAAGTCCCCGCACACTCACCTGGTGTCCTCAGCCGTCCCTGTCCTGCCTGAGCTCTCAGCCCTGACCATGTTCTCCCTGCTCCTCGGGCACAAAGACAGGACCTAACTCGGCAGGCCTGCGCGTCCTGCCCTGCCACACCCTCTTGGGCCCTCTGTCTGGGACGCCTGCGCGTGGGCCCGCTGTTCCGTGTCCTGCCCCCACACACGCAGGCCCACACACTGCAGCTGGGGCTTATTCAGGGAGCAGCCAGGCTCAGGACCCTGAGGTCCTTGGGGAGTGGACCTCAGAGCCGCAGGCCGTGTCCATTCCGCCTCTGGTGCCCCTGCCTGCCCCCCCCGCTTCCCAGCTCCGATGCCCACAGTGTGCTCACGTCGGGTGAGGTAGTGGGGGGCCTGGATGTGGGGGACAGGGCGTGTGGTGCAGCCTGGACCCTCCCCCACGGCACCTCCCGGCCCCCTGGACGGCCGAATCCTGGTGGCCTCGCCCGTGCTGGCGGCCCTGCTGGGCCTTTTCCCGAAGGAGTGCCGGGCTCTGGGCCCTACCAGTCTAAGGACTGGGTCAGGCTCGGCACATCACGCCCTCTCCGACTCCCTCCGTGTTTATCCCCATTCCCTGACCTTCCCGGCCACCACGTCTGTGCCCAGGACCCCCGCGTGTCTCTGCCAGAGCCCAGGAACCTCATGTGAACTGCTCATTTGTGTGAGTGCTTGTGAATTTGGTTTCGGCAGGACACGTCTGTGCAGCAAACGATAACATCGTATCAGCTAAGTGTGTGGTGATATCGTACATTTTTACTGGGCCCTTATTATGGGCTGGGTACTTTTGAGGTTCATAAGATTAACTCATTTAACCAGTAAAACAACCCTAGGAGGTAGGGACTATTGTTCCTCTATTACATCTGAGGAAATGGAGAAACAAAATTAATCCAAAGTTGTAGAGGGAAGGAATGGGGATTCTAACCAGGAGAGAGGTTCCAGAGACTCTGGACCAGCCCATAGTACATTATCAGACTATTTAGGAAGAATTTAAGGATTTTAGTGTCTTTTATGTGGAGCTAATATCTGTATCAAGGCTCCTTCAGAAATGCCGTAATGGAGGCAGATGGAGCCCACAGTTTACGTCCTCCCCACACTGACCTTGGCCTCCCCACTCGGTCCCGTCCTCCCACACTGACCTTGGCCTCCCCACTCGGTCCCGTCCTCCCCACACTGACCTTGGCCTCCCCACTCGGTCCCGTCCTCCCACACTGACCTTGGCCTACACACCTAGTTCACGTTTCTCTCCCTTTTGCCCTAGACTTCGACCCCCAGCACTTTTGGCACTGGAACAGCTTTGGGGACTACGTGCAGTGTGTCCTGGCCTTCACCGGTGTGGCAGGCTGTGTCACCTACCTGTCCATCGACTCGGCCCTTTTCGTGGAGAGCCTGGGCTTCCTGGCCGTGCTGACCGAGGCCATGCTGGGCATGCCGCAGCTCTGCCGCAACCACCGCCACCAGTCCACGGAGGGCATGAGGTAGGGGCGCGGCAGGGACCCGTGCACAAATCTGCTGCTTCAGTTTCAGTTCTGCTGGGAAGCTGCCAGTTCAAGAGCAGTTTCGGGTTAGGACGCTGGTCTTCTGACCTCTTGATGTGCAAGCAGGTGTGCAACAGGTGAGGGGGAGCCGAGACCCTCCCGTGGAGCAGCTCACTGCGGGCCACAGACGGGAGGCGGGGCCCACAGATGTCTCCAGAAGGCAGAAGGTTCAAACCCTTTAATGTAGGAAATGACGTGGCAGCTTCCTCCCGCTTAGCACCACCAAGGGCAGGTCTCAGGCACTCCCTGCCTCCCTCAGCACAGTTCCATTTATGAGAACATCCAAAAGCAAAAAATGCTTAGGAATTAACTTAACCAAGGAGGTGGAAGACCTGTACAATGAAAACTACGGTGAGATGCCACCTCTCACCTGTTTGGATGGTGACTGTCAGAAAAACAGAACAGCGAGTGTTGGTAAAGGATGTGCAAAGATTGGAATTCTTGTGTTCTGCTGGTGGGAATGCAAAGTGGTCCAGCTGCTGTGGAAAGCAATACGGCATTTCCTCAAAATATTAGGATAGAATTACAGTGTGACCCAGCAATTCTACTTCTGGGCATATAACCAAGAGAATTGAAAGCAGGGTCTTGAAGAGATATTGTACACCCATGTTCATAACATAATAGCATTATTCATAACAGATAAAACATGCAAGCAACCCAAGTGTCCATCAGTGGATGAACAGATAAACAAAATGTGGTCTGTCCATACAATGGAATATTATTCAGTCTTAACAGGAAGGAAGTTCTGACACAGGTTACTTCATGGAATCGTGAGGACATGATGCTCAGTGAAATAAGCCAGTCACAAAAGGACAAATACTGTATGGTTCCACTTATATGAGGGACTTAGCGTCATCAAATTCATAGACAGAAAGTAGAATGGTGGTTGCCAGGGGCTAGGAAGAGGGGAGAACGGGGAGTTATTGTTTAATGAGTATTTATCTATAGTGTTTTTGAGTGGGTATCTCTCTGTATAGATTTTTTTAGTGAACTGTGGCAACTCTACCTCCCTTTATGATATTTTTAATGTAGTATATTTTATATATGTGATGTTTCCCTCCACTTATAATTTTCTTAAATATTTCCTCTATTCATATTTAGAACCACATCAGATAATATTATAATTTTTGCTTCAGTCAACATAATGCACAAAACTGACGAGGATAGGAATGTTTATCGTGTTTACTCTTATTTTTGCTTATGATGTTCTTCCTTCCTTCCTGCTATTGCGAGATGCCTTCTTTCCTTGTTTTCGTTTTTGTTTTTTTTTCCTGTTTTGAGAAACTCCTGTAACTAGCCTTTAAGGGTATTTCAGGTGGTGGCAGATTTCTTTACTTTTCCTTCACCTGAGAATGTCTTGATATCCCGTTCATCTCTGAAGGAAATTTTTGCTGATACAGGTTGAACTAGGTTGATAGTTCATTTCTTTTAGCCCTTGAAAAATGTGCCACTTCCTTTTGGCCTCTGTGGCTTCTGATGAGAAACCCACTGTGATTTTTGTTTGCCCCTATAAGTAAGGTGTTATTTTGCTCTAGCTGCTTTTGAGATTTTTTTTTTTTTTTTGTCTTTAGTTTTCAGAAGTTTGACTGTGACGTGTGTCTTGGTGTGGATCTGTCCTGTTTGGGATTCACTCAGCTTCTTGAATCCCTAGGGTTATACTTCCTGCTCATTTGGGGAAGTTTTCAGCTGTTATGTCTTTGAGTACTTTTTCAGTCCTGCCCTTTACCTCTCTTCTCTAGGACTCTGATGATGTGGAATGTTAGGTCATTTGCTATGATTCTGTTGTTAAGATCATTTCTTTTTTTGTTATGATGCACTGGTTCTTGCCAGTGTTCCAGCCACTGTGCTCTGAGAGCCCATTTACTGACTGTTTCCTTTTGGTTATTGTATTTTTCAATACAGTAAAGCTTACATTTGGCTCTTCTTTACGTATTTGTTTCTTGTGTGAAGCTCTTTGTCTCTTTGCTGAGACTCTCTCTTCATTTGTCTCAAGCATATTCATAATTGCTCATTGAGGCAGCTTTAAAGTGGCTCCTTGAAAATCTTTGCTCTTTCTCACAGTTTTGGCATCTAAACACTGTCTTTGTTTAATTCTGTTTGAGATCTTCCTGGTTCTTGATATGACAGATGATTTCCGCTTTAACCTTGGGCATTTCCATGTTATTTATAAGACGCTGGGTCTTACTTAGACCTTTGGTTCTAGCTGGCTTTCTCGACACTGCCCTGGTGGTGGGATTGGGACGCCTGGCAGGAGAAAAAGTCTAGGATTTCCACCCTCCTCTGCTATCACGGGTGGTGGTGGGGCTGCCTTTTTTTCTGTTTTGTTTGGAGTAGAGCAGTTATTGGCTAAAGTTGCCTATTCTGCCAGGCTGCACCCTTCCTGGTCTTTTGCACAGAGAGCAGCCCGTTCTTGGGGCCTCCTGGCACTTCCTGCTTCTTCAGCTCCAAGTCTGGGGTTCCTGTGGCCTTCTCTCCACCTTTGAGAGTCTTGTGTTTCTGTGTAATGTCCAGGGTGTATAGGGGAGGAACAGGGAGACGATTCTGTCTTCCAAGAAGCTGAAGTTTGTGTCACACCTGATTTTAACTAACCCTTTGTTTTTGTGTGTGATACTCTTATCTTGGGTACGGGACACGTGACTGCAGCTGTCTTTTAGGCTGACCTTCTAAACCTCCTTTTATTTGACCACTGTCTCCATGTTTCTCCAGAAACATCCTCGCCATCTGACAGTGATGCGCTGATGTTTTAATTTGCCCAGCTCATCTACTTGACTGACAGCCTTGAAGGCAAGGACTGTATCCCGTTTCTTTCTTTCCCCAACATCTGACAATGTGCTTGGAAAATTACAGCAGTTCAGTTCAGTAAATATTTATTGAATGAACTCATGAAGGACTAAAATAGTTGATTCTCGAAATCACTTTGGGGAAAGTGAGAACACTTGGGGAAGCAGGTATGGATGTGGAAGACTTACCAGTGCGGGTACCTAGCTGATCAGGCTAAGTCTCGGAGAATTTGTGCACAACAGCAAAAGCTGCAGAAGGCCCCAGTGGGAACTGTGTCCCTGGTGGGGCTGCAGTGACTCATCCAGCAAAGGCAGTGTTGGAAAGACGCCAGGCCGGACCATGGAGGTCTGTGCTGCTCTGCAGAAGCGCGGCCGTGGGCGTGGCCGTCCCCCTTCCTGTCTCAGGGTGACCTCGGGAGCGACAGGATGCGCAGAAGGCCCTGGTACCTGGGGCGTTGAACCTGAAAGGAGGAAGCCCGGGGGACTGTGTGAGGGCCGGGTGGTGCACGTGCTCCTGAGATTCTGACTTTAGGGCGTAAAGGATGCGTGTGGTCGTCAGCCTTTGGTGACCGCAGCCCCTCTCCCCCAGTGCCCCTCCCCCCCACAGACCACCCGCCTGCCTGGTGGCACTGGGTAAAGGAGACAGAAGGCAAAGGCGGAAGGGAAGGGAAGGAGACTGCGGTCAGTGCTGTGAGCAGGTCTGGCGAGAAGGCCCGGCCGCGCGGGGACGAAGGCCCGCTCCATGCCCGCTGGCGGGGCCCGAGCAGGGCCCAGAGCCAGCGGAGGGGGGCCAGTCTGTGTCACGGACATGGACACGGGCCGCTAATTCAGTCAGCTTGGAGTGCAGGGTCCTTCTCAAGAGCCTCACTCATCCTCGTTAAGAAGACTAACCTAATCGTGGGCCCTGCCGCTCAGAGACGGGCTCTGGGTGGAGGTGTAATTAGGTTAGGGGCCTGTTCAGTGTTGCTGTCGTGTCCACGGAGCCGCAGGATGCCCTGGTAGGGCTCCGTGGGTGGGTCTGCAGGGCCAGGCCGCTGGGGGCCAGCTGGGCCCTGAGCTGAGGTTCTGCTCTCTGCACGTGGTGTGGGGTGGCGTGCCCTGCAGGTGACCGGAGGTGATGGAAGGGTCACAGGTTCTCTGCTCAGCTGGAGTTAACAGAGAGGTGACCTTGCTCTGTGTGTATTTCAAGGGCCGACAGCCTTTTTCTTGGCGGTGAGCACAGACTGAGTGCTGGGGGAGAGTGAGTGCAGGGCTGGAGCCTGGTTCCAGTTTTGTTTCCTGTGAAATTTGTGCTTCTTTGAAGAAGTCTGTGTCTGAGAGCCTCTAAAGGTGAAGGAATCTCCACGCAGTGACGCATTACACCTGAAGCAGGTGCGGAAACAGCGCAACGCCGGCGCAGGCCTCTCCCAGCGCAGCTCTCGGGCACCCAGGCCTCCGCGCATCCCTCTGCTGGGTCTTCCCTCAGCCCCACCACGGTCTCTGCTCCATCCCTGCCAAGCTCCGTTTGTCACTTTGTCCCCAGGGCGGGGCCTTCTGTCCTTGCTCAGTGACGTGTCCCCGGCACCCAGAACAGCTTGGCTGTCAAAGGTCAATAAATCCGACTCCATGATCCTGAAAATGAGACTCTTAGGTGTCCCTGTGCAGGCCGGGCTGGTCTGACCTGCGTCTGACCCTTCCCTCGTCCCCAGGGCCAGCACAATGCCACCTGTGTCTTCAGGGAGCCTGGATGCCCGCTGGAGCCTGAGCTGTGGCGAGCATGATTGCCCCCCAGTGTCCAGCCTGTCACCTTGTAGCCTGATTCCTACGGGGCGGATCGCGGGCTCCTGGCTGGGGCAAGGAGGGTGGGGCTGTGAGGAAAGCGCCCCTCGCGCTTTCCACATCCCGGCCTGGAAGAGAGAGGCTGGGGCTCCCTGTGTGCACTTAGCGGGGTCGGTTCGGCCCAGGTTCAGACCAGAACTTGCCCCGACACGGGACCCCCCGGCCGGCTGTGTGGTCAGCGCCCCTCGGCATGGACACAGGAGCCTCCCGAGGTCGGCTGCTCCGGTCCCACCGGAGGACCAGAGGCCTCCCTCCCTCTCCTGCACCCATGCCCGGACTCAGGACTTGGTCTCAGGGCTGCCTCTGCCCCTCGTCCCCACTTCCCAGCAGCCGCTCTGTGTG